AGCTTCCCAAGGTCCTTTGTTTGAAATGCACTGAATAAATGTTGTTTTAACTGACGGATTCCGTCTTGATCACTTCCGGTGATGATGATGTCATCAACATAGACTAACAAATAGATGCACTTGTTAGGAGATGTAATCCTATAGAATACAGAATGGTCAACTTTAATGCGAATTAGGCCAAACGCCTGTACAGCAGAACTGAAGCGACTGAACCATGCTCGAGGAGACTGCTTGAGACCATATAAGGATTTTCGAAGACGACATACCTTCCTAGACTCCCCCTGAGCAACAAAACCAGGTGGTTGCTCCATGTAAACTTCTTCTTGTAAATCACCATGAAGAAAGGCATTTTTGATGTCAAGTTGAAGGAGTGGCCAGTGACGAACAGCAGCAAGGGCAAGAAATAGGCGGACGAACGCCATCTTAGCGACTGGAGAGAATGTATCGCTATAATCAAGGCCAAAGATTTGAGTAAAACCCTTGGCAACTAGGCGTGCCTTGAGACGATCAACATGGCCATCAGGTCCAACTTTCACAGTAAACACCCAGCGACAACCAACTATAGACTTATCTGGAGGAGCAGAAACAAGGTCCCAAGTGCCATTAGTATGAAGTGCGGTCATCTCATCAAGCATCGCTTGGCGCAATCCTGGATGGGAGAGTGCTTCACCTGTGGTCTTAGGAATAGAAACAGAAGAAAGACTAGAAACAAAGGTGAAATGAGGAGGAGAAAGACGATCATAGCTCAAGAAGGTATAAAGAGGATAAGGGTTACGAGTAGTACGTGTACCTTTTCTTTGAGCAATGGGAAGAGCCTCTGGTGAAGGATCCGGAGGGGAAGAATCAACTGCAGAGGGCAATGAGTCAGCAGGGGTCGAGTCGACTGGAGGAACTGTCTTACGACGCTGATAAGTGAGAAGTGGACGATCCTCAGGTACTGGAGCAATAGGTGATTGCTTATTTGGAGTAGAAGCACCTGCATCTGGCAAAGACAAGTCAAGAAAAGGAACAGGAAGAACATGATCAACCTGTGACAATGGAGATGGGATAGAATTAAAGGGTTGTTGATCAAGAAAGGTGACATCCGCGGAAACTAAGTAACGCTTGAGGTCAGGAGAGTAACAGCGATAACCCTTTTGAAGACGAGAATAACCAAGAAAAATGCATTTAAAGGCATGTTAACTTATCCTTACCAGGAGTGAGATCATGAACAAAACAGGTACAACCAAAAACATGTGGGGATAGAGGAAAGAGAGGAACATCTGAAAACAATAAGTTATGAGGAATATCATTATTAAGCACAGATGAAGGCATGCGGTTGATGAGAAAGCAAGAAGCAAGGACTGCATCAGCCCAGAAGTGAAGAGGAACATGCATGTGAATAAGAAGAGTCCTGGCAATCTTAATGAGATGTCTATTCTTACGTTCAGCTACTCCATTTTATTGTGGAGTGTGAGGACAAGTGGTTTGGTGTAAAGTACCCTGTGTGGCTAAGAAATAAGAAAAGTCAACAGAAACATACTCCTTAGCATTCACTACGTAAAATACGAATAGAAGCACCAAATTGAGTATGAATTTCAGCAGAAAACTTTTGATAAATAGAAAACAACTCAGAACGATTTTTCATTAAATAAATCCAAGTACAACGGGAGAAATCATCAATAAAGGTGACAAAATACCGAAAACCTAAAATAGACACACTACGACTAAGACCCCAAACATCTGAATGAATAATTGAAAAAGGAGCATCAGCTCGTTTATTGACTCGATTAGCAAAGGAGGAACGTATGTGCTTTCCTTGCTGACATGACTGACAATCTAAAGTTTGAAGACCGGATAAAAGAGGAACCATCTTCTGCAATTTCGCAAGACTAGGATGCCCGAGACGACTGTGGATGAGCTGTGGAGATTCTGTGAGAGAACAAGCAACTGAAGGACTCGGCAAATGAAGGTAGAACAGACCCCGTGACTCACGGCCCACTCCAATCATCTTCCCCATACCCGGGTCCTGCACAGAAACAGAATGGTTTAAGAATGTGACAATACAATTAAGAGAATTGATCAATTTACTAACCGATATTAAATTATAAGGGATGTGATGAATGTAATAGATAGATGTCAAGGTCAATGAGGAGGTTGGACAGATTTGTCCAATCCCATGAACGGGGGCCTTAGTCCCATCAGCAAGAGTAAAAGAGGGTAAATTATCAGAATATGTAAGGGAAGAAAAGAGTTCCTTATTACCACAGAGGTGATCAGTAGCACCTGAGTCAAATATCCAAGGACCAAGTGATGCAGAATGAGAAACACAAGCAACAGGATTACCAGTTTCTGAAGCAGAGGCCTGAGATTGAGGAGAGGACTTCCTGAGAAGGGCCTGGAATGCTGCATATTCTTCAGAGGAGAGAGAGACTAAACCATTTAAAGCAGTATCCGATTGAGCTACATTAGCAGCAAAAGAAGGTCGCATGTGAGGATACTTTGTGTAGCAGCGTTCCTCATAATGACCAAGTTGCTGACAGTAATGACAACGAGGTCGCTGACCACGCCCGACTGGACCTCCTGGGCTATGTCCTCCTGGGCCCCGGCCTCCTGGGCCTCTACCACGTCCACGTCCACCTCCAATATGCCCGCGAAAATCAATACGGGAAACTAGAGCAGTAGAATCAACAGCAGAAGACGATCCAAGAGCAGATTTCTTATTCAAATTCAGAAGACGCTGATACGTCATGGATAGATCAGGCTCCCCACTAGTCAAGATAGTATCACGAACATTATCATATTCTTCGGGAAGGCCAGAAAGTGTGGCAACCATAAAGAGACGTTCCACTTGTTTCCGATATGCAGTAGCATCAGTAGGGTAAGGCAGCATATCCAAATATGCCTGCATCAAAGAACTCTTGCCAATATATGTCTCCATCTGAATGTCAGATGATTTGCTCAATTCCATAAACTGAGAGATGATGAAATATAGCTGCTGAACATCATTAGTGTAGAGGTTTTTTGCTTCCTCCCACACTTCAGTGCAAGTTTGAAATGAATAAAAGATATCCAAGACAATCGGATCAATGGATTGCCAGAGGATACTCAGAAGCTGGTTGTCAATCTTCTCCCAATCAGACTTGTCCTCCTTAGGGACATCGGTAGACTTAGTCGTGAGATGGTTCCCATATCCTTGTCCAAAGAACCAAACTCGAACGGAGGTGGCCCAGTTCTTGTAATTAACAGATCCCTTCAATCTTGAAGAGGTAATGAACCCAATATTGGTAGAGATGATATTGAGAGAATTTCTCACAGGAGGAGATGGAGAATTGACCTCCGAATGAATAGGAGAGTTTGCTGCCATAGTATTAAATCACAAAGATATAAACCGAATAAAGAGAAACGAACCTGATCACCAATCAAGAAGAGGTGCACACAAAAAGTCAGACCCACAAAGAACCAACCACAGATCCAGAAAGAGGAGGAGAAGACGAGCTTCTCTGTCCAAGACCGGCCGGAAAAAGCCGCCGGAATAGTGCTCACGCGCCGGCAGAAGGTGGCGCGTGAAGCCCACGCGCAGAGAAGACAGGTGGCACGTGACGGCGCGTGGGAGATGCGTTGCTGACCGGACCACCACAGACCTGGTCGCCAGGAAGTTAGGGTCCTGATCGCGTGAAGTTTGGTCGGAAAAGTCGCCGAAAAAAGTCTCCGGTGGCCTGAACAGTGATTCTGACGGCGGGCGGTGGTTCCGGTGGTCGTCGGAGGTGCTGACGCATTTGGAAAAATCACCCAGAGGCTGTTTACAGCCCTAGAAGGCTTGCCGGAAAGACGCACAGCAAGAAAGAGGACTCCTAAGCAGTGGGCTTAGGTTTTAAAGCAAAAACAAGGTTTCTAAGCGGAAGCGAGGGTCCCCAGAACGAAAGAGCTCTGATACCATGTAAAGAACCTTAGGATACACCACCCCAAAAGCTAGCTCAAAGGGTGGGAGTGTCTAAGGTCTTATAAACTCCACATTAGTGTTAGAATATTAGATATGATTAGATTCAATCCTATCCGTTAATATTCTGCTTGTATTAGGATTGCATTAGGTTTGGGCCTTTCACTTAAGCTCATTAGGGTCTCTACATATTGTAACTCTCTGACACAGATCAATACACAACATATTATTTTACATTTAAGTTGGTATTAGAGCCTCGCCGTCCCCCACTTTCTCTTGTGGAGTTTCTTAGCACAGGTAGGCTGGGCCTGTTGCATTGTCCACTCTTCAAGCCCAATGGACTCTCGTGTGAGGGGGCGTGTTGAGATATGTAGTCCCACATTGGTTGTATGTGCAACTAATGTGGAGTTTATAAGACCTTGGGCACTCCCACCCTTTGAGCTAGCTTTTGAGGTGGTGTATCCTAAAGTCCTTTACAGTAAGCAAGTTCTTTTTAAAACTTAAACAACAAGTCAAGTCAAGTCAAAAAACTTAAAACAAGTCAAGTCTTAAGTTCCTGACAAGCCATTTGGCCCATTTACACCCTTACCCAAACCCGTTAGTTTGTCTAAGTCAAAATAGGCTTAAAATCAAGTGAGTCCCACATGTTTTCAGAGAACCCCACCTCTTTCATGTGTCAACAAGAGAAATAAAATTTCTCCTATAACATAAATTTTTTTATTCAAACAATGACCTCCTAAAAACGGCCTAGGCCGAAAGGCATGTTTGCCTAGGGCCATTTGTTTAAACTCTTTGTTCAATCCCATACTTTAAGTAGTTAGACCTAAATTTAATTAGAGTTTTGCATCTATCATTTAACATAATCACAACAACTTTCCTACACACACAACATTTCATGAGACCCGCAATTTTTAAAACCAAAAGAAAAAAAAAAAACTCCGACACACAAAACGAATCTCTATAACATAATACAATCATTTTTCCTACAACATAACTCTTATAAAACCGATTTAGTTAAATGTAATTGTTTGCAAATGTTGTGTATAATTAAACCCACTTGTATACTTGTATGTTCTTTGCACTCAAATATGGACTAGAGTGATATTTTTGGATACACACGGTCTGTCACACTTAATAATAAAAAAATTCCCCCATTAGGAAAATGGTACAGATACAACTCAAATTCAAAAGGGGTGAAAACGTTACAAGGGAGAGAGATAAAGCAGAGTGAGCCTGCAATTCAACCATCACACATTGCTTAAAAATTTGACTTCCCCAAAATATTCATAAAAAAGAATGAGAAATGCATCATCTCCAATTGGTTACAACAGTGTTGACACAAAAGTCTAAAGCACATTAACGCAGGCACTTGTTGATAAACTTGAGGAAGAGAATAGTTAATTTTCCCTAGAGGAGCTTGCAACCCCAATAGTCAACAGGTATCAATCAACCATTATCGCAAGAAAATTGTTAAGCTTGCTTCCTGTAACTCAAATCAACATCTCCATTAATCTACAAGAAACAAGAAAAAAAAAAAAAAAAAACCATATTTACATTAACATTGAGGAGTCAGTTAGCCAAAAAAACAACAGAACTTGAGACTTACTAATTTAGCAAGTTCTTTAGCTTTTTCATCATTGAAACCTAAAGCAGCCAAGATCCTTTGACCTGCTGATTCTTCTTGTGACCAAATTCCTAGAAGTAAATGAGTCACATTTATTTCCCCTTCTTCACCTACATTTTATGTCATAATTTCATTAAATACCCAAGAGAGAACATCAAGTAAAGATTATTAAGAAGCAAGATAAAGATCAATATTGTACAAATGCAACATCACAAGGTCAAACTACAAATACATCAGGCAATGGCTTGGGCATTGATAAGCATTTACTTTTATAGAGAGATGGTTCACTAACTAAGCCATAACTTAAGACTTAAGCAAACTATGGACATGGCTGAAGCTTAACAGATATACACCTAAAGCTGGATTCATTTGATGAGGTTTTCATATTACCAAATTTTCACAGTACCTTAATGAGGAAAAAAAGATATTTAAAATCATTTTCCATACACCAGCTTTCTAACAGAAGCGGCACAAGACAACCGAAAGCATCTTTCTACTTTAACTTGCAAACTCACCAATAATTTCATTTCAAGCATCAAGTAACTCACAAAAGGGCACAACACTTGAAAATGTGACATTCCAAACTCAAAAATGAATCTAGCTGATCAATTGGAAAAAAAAAATGGTAGACGACTAATAGCTGATACATGGACACGTCATTGTGGAAACCGTGCATACCTGACTTCAATTTCTCATCAACCGCCCAATCAAGGGCTTTCTGAGCTGGTTCAGTCAATGGAGGATGCTCAGGGCTGAAGTAATACATGTCAGATTTCCCAAGTAGCTCTACTGTTTCTTCACGTACTTTGAAAAGAGTAATTCCATTAGCTCTTAAGAATTTTGCAGCTTTACTTGTTCCTGAAAGCACAACAAAATTTGATTAAGTTCTCCAGGGTATACAAAAGGTACACAGCCAGATACCTATGGAACAGATTCAACTTCTTAACATAAACTGCCTTTAAAAATCTATACCGCAGGATTGCCAACAAAATTTAAAGAGGACTTTATTATAACTAGAAGAAATGAAAAATGATAATAGATTCTATTACTCTAATGCCACATTTTGCTTAGCACAATTAATTTAGGTTACCACATCTACCATTTTTAGAGGCAAAGGAACCAACCACTGCCATGTACACAGTACCCATTTTCTTCAACAAGAATGGAACATGTATACAATTCTTCACACAGTAAAGGGAAAAGCTACAAGTAAAACGGTCGTCTTAAATGAATCTAAACTTGACTAAAACTAGCTCGTGACACATTATTGCTGAACCCACAACTCATTTGAAAGGACGAAACAGAAGGTAACATTTTCCTTTTCCCTCTCTTTTTCTCTGATCAAGCAATGTTTTTAAATTGAGAATATAATGGGATACTTCTTTAGTTCTGGAGCAAATGCATGTCAGTATGAGTCATTTTCTATACACCATATGACATAGCCAAATAGGGTATTTAATCCCCAGGAGATATTCAAGCTTCAAGAAGGATCTTGTGAATTTATAAAAATGACAGACCTATGTATATATCAATATAACAAGAAGCCTGAATCCAATTGATAATTGGAAGATATAAAGTATGGTAACTAAATTCTATTAAAAACTATGTATGATAGGCCAAAAATTAGAACTATTACATTTATGATTGAACATTTCTGCTCAAAGTTAAACCCATCCACCTTTTAAGAGTATGCTTAAAATCACAGTAGGAAAGAAAAATCATTTAGTATCCAATGTGAGTGTTGCTCTTTTTTCAAACCACCAAATACTCTAAATTATCCTTCTACTTGGTAAACCATGCACGAAGGAACCATCTCTTTGACATAGAACTATTGCCATTTTACACTCTCCAGTCTGTAAATCCAGTTTTACCGCTTAAAGTAAACTGCAAGTGCTGAATCTAATATGCAAAACACAACTAACCAGATAAAGTTTCGTCCAAATTCAAGAACAACTTGACCCATATATAAGGTATGAAGTACAATATTCACCACCCATAATTTGAATCACAACTCCACTGCCGATCTTAATATAGATATTCCAAGTAAATCTTGTGGGAGAAAAGGAAAACTATGCAGCTGCTAGAAAACATCACAGTATTAGTCATTTTACATCTTTTCTTACCTATAAGCAGTAAAATAGATTTTGGCATGCACACGTTCAGATTGGAAATGAACTCATAACAAATGAAGCTAATGGAACACATCAAAATGCATTCAATTGATGGCAATCAGATAAGTCCAGTGCCTGACACACTTAACTCACTGCAAAACGGAATTAAGCAAGCCATTACTGAAACTTGAAAGACACAAATTTGCCATTCAATTAAGGGTAATTAGACAAGTTCAATGCCAAAGCACTTATTTCAGCAACAATAACATCACCTTTGGCCCAAACTAGTTGACATTTGCATTCAATGAAACCATATAAAATCAAGATTAAGGAAAAATAAATAATAAATAAGAATAAAATAATATAAAAGCAAAAATTTCGCTGCAAAAAGCTCCACGGCTTGTGGTAATAAAGGTGAGAGTCGATTCTACGCAGCCTTACTATTGTATTATTGCAAATAGACTATTTTCCAAAGTCGAACCTTCCAGTTACCGGGAGCAACCTTACCGCTCCTACAAGGCTTGTCCTCAATAAAATAACATATATAATAAATTGAATAACTAAATAGATAAATAGAAAACTAAAGTATTTGTAGAAAAAAAATGCACTTTGACTAAAATGCATTGAGCATGCTATTACTGAAATTCAAAAGACACCCATTGTAGCAAACCTTCAACTAGAATCCCCATGAGAAGAGCCTCGGTTCCTGTGTTAGGATATTTGAGCTTCCTCGCTTCCAATTCCGCCATTGCATAAGACTTAATAGCCCTTGCTGACCACCTGAACCAAACAAACAAGCACAACCCTCAAACACACAACATACACAACACAGCCCAATTACACCATTGATATACGACAAGAGTAAAAAACTCACTTTGGGATTTTCTCGGGTGTACCCGAATGGGGTTTCCTGCAAAAATGGAAAAAAGACAGAAACTTTAAGGCACTTGGAGGTGACCCAGATGAAAATTCGAGAAACCCATCGGTGTTTAAGTGTTTTAGAAGAAACTTACGGGATGGGGAGGCTAAACGACACGGTTGCTGATGTCGCACGGCAATTCTTGTTGGGAAGAAAAGAAGGGGTTGTTGAAGTGGAAGAGTGTTTAAGGGTAATAATCCTGGTTCCAAATAGTGAAGTGAGAGAGAGGGTATGGTTTGGGTTTGAATGGGATGTGGGAATGAAAGCCATTGGAACCAAATGAATAGAGAAAAGAGAAGAGGTTGCTTTCATCTTCAAATGGAATGGAACAAGAAACAAAATTGAGAATTTCACAGTTCAGAGAGAGAGAGAGAGGGAGGAAAGGCAAAAGGGTATTGACACTGAGAACTTCAATTGAGAATTTCACAGTTTGTGAGCTTGAATTTGTAAAATTTTGAACAGTAACATTTAAGGACAGAATATCAATGGCGAAGGTAAAGGTCAGATAATAAAATAAAGGGGTTTATATTTGTCGTATTCAACCGTGACGTAACAAAATTTCTTACACACGTAATATTTTGTGGGGCTCACACTTTTTTAAAAAAAAAGAAAAAATTAGGACACGCAGAATGAATCTCTATAACATTGCACAATCACTTTTCTTACAACATAATTCTTATAAAATACTAAAATAAATATTATTTTATTGAATGAAATATATGTAATGAAATTGTTGACAACCAGAAGTATTCAAGTAAAACCCATCAAATACATTAATAAAGATGTTTGTAACATCATTTAACTACTTATTAACGTAAATTTTAAATAAAGTTACTTTGTTTATCATAAAATTAACGTCAATTTTAAATAAAATTTTAAGAAAAGTGTTTCTCAACATAATTATTAAAATAATAATTAAAAGATAAAATAGATAAAAGATGTGTAACTTAATATTGAATGGTATCTATAATAGATCTAAGAATGTTACATCACTACTTCAAAAATCTACAATAATATTCCCTTAGAATCACTCCCCACTTTACAGAAGATGAAGAATCAGTTGTTGAAACAAGGTTTGGGACGAAAAAGAATATCAGGAGATTTCAGAAAATAATCAGGATGCAGAATAACTTTCCTGATAACTTTCAGAAAACAAACATGTAGTTTAAAAAAAAACTAAAAAATAAATAATTAAAAAAAAGAATTTATTAATCTCCTTTAATAGAAGATAGCTTACATCATGTCATAGAAATAAAATATGAGTCCCATCATTTTAAAAATAAAAAAAGAATGATACAATTTTTTATGCCTCGCTAGCATAAGATAATTGTCTCCTATAAAATGAGACAATTTAAACCCTAAAAGAAAACGGTTGAAGTGTAGACACATAAATAATAAAAAATTTAATGACAAATAAAGTTTTACTATGGAGAATATGTCTCTTCTTTTTTAGTTGAAGATATATGGTTTATCATAAATGTATTTTATTAAACTTCTTTTCATTATCAAACAAAATGATAAATATTTCTAAATTTCAAGTAATAAACGAATTATTATATATTAATTATTGTAGAAGATTAACTTCAGAAGACGAAGAAGAAAAACAAACACAAATTTTTTTGATTATAATGAATATCATAATGCCAAATTATTAATGTTTAATCTCATGTTAAACATTAGATAATCATCCAAAAAATTTCAATCAAATGTCAAATAAATATTAAGAAATTACATATTTCCTAATTGTCTAATAATTCTCAAATATATAGTTCAACAATATCCAGAACAATGTTGATGCTACACAACTTCTTCCCCAGCAGCTTTGTTCATGCATAAATTCTCCTTCTCCAGCAAGGTGTCTCCAACTTCAGCAATAGAACTAATTAAAAAAAATTTGTTGGAATCATTGAACTGTATTAACGATATAGAGTATACAAATAATATGTAGTAGAAAATTATAAACACACAAATAATTGGTAAGTACTTAACTCTATTTCTATCTTAATCTTTTTGTTAGGACAATTAACTGAACAATTAAAGTTTTCTTTCTTGAACTGTTTCACGAGAGAACTAAACACATCAAAGCGGACTGCCATTTTGTTCGAGAAAAGGTTCAAGCTAAGATTATTGAAACACCATATATCCAAATCGAAGACCAATTAACAGACATGTTCACAAAGGCTCTCCTAAATAAATCCTTTCAAAACATCATTGCCAAGCTGAGTTTGATTGACATATTTGCCTCAACTTGGAGGGTGAAGTTTTGGAGAAATTAGTGGATGTAAATCAGGAGATTTAATTAATTGTAATCATGTGACAAATATATCCCATAAAAAGTGTAACAAATCACCTGATATCTTTAATTGTGGATAAAATAATTTGGCCCAACTATAGTATCACCTATTATTTATATTGAAGGGAACCCCCCTTGATCATTACTGAGGGGGAGAAACATCATCAGTGTGGAGGCCCAACAAGCTCAAAAACCATTACTTAACAATAAAGAGAACACGTCCATCCTGCGTAAGTATGTCATCTTTCATCTTCTAACACACGCTACCAGCAGCTCAAGCAAGGCATCCCTTCATTATAAATACAGAGGCACTGAGCCCAAGCAAAATCAACTATACATCAATACGTGAATTCCTTGAACCTTGATCTGACTTGAGCATCAGAGTATCTTGCAGATATATCTAGCCCCCTCAAACTGCCCTAGGACTCTTATACCAGCTCAACTGTCTCGCCAAACAATCCCAATCATATCGCATAGAACACCTCAATCCAGATCCCCATCAATAATATTAGGTTCAACCATACTTCATCCATGTGCGTCATCCAAAAACCCCTGTTATAAGTTTTAAGTGTTCATTTTTATCTTTTTATTGCAATTATTTAAGATTCAGCTACGCATATTTTGAGTAATTCATCTCACAATCTAATTGAAGTAGACTTTATAGACTGAAATTAAGTAATTCACAGTGATATTTTTTGTGAGAAAATGTTTGTTACATCGCAATGTTTCATAAGGATATAATAGTGTTCTTTAACCGATAAATAATGTTATAGTTTTTTTTCTTCATAAATCAACTTATACCTTTGTTTTAATCACATGTGTTGAAGAAAAATGCAACAAAGTGACCTTATTTGCACTGCATACAACATTCTTTGAAAATTATTGTTAGAATATATTAAATATAATTAGATATGATTAGTCTGTAATTATGTTGATTAGTCTGTAATTATGCTGATTGTATTAGTCTGTTATTATGATGATTGTAATTAGGTCTGGGCCTTTCACTTAAAGCCTATTAGAGTCTCTATATATTGTAACTCTCTGAATTAGATCAATACACACAGAATATTATTTCAAATGTTCCTCTCTTCTCTCTCACTCTCTCGTTATTTAACATGGTATCAAGAGCCTAAGGAACTTTGAAATTTTTTTTTTTCCGGTGAACCCACTGTTCATCGTGGTTTAATATATATATTTTTTTCGGAGCTGTCTCCTTGTCAGTTTTTGGACGCTTCTCTCTCGCATACAACTTATGACTCGTCCAGAACCACCGTCCGGTCACCGTTTCCGGCGATCCACATACCTCCGTGCTCGTCTCAGCCGCGCGATTCAAACGCCACCGGCCCCGTCCGATTTCAAGGTCACACGAGCCCTCACGCGCGCGTGACAGTTCGACCACTCTCCTTCACTCCGGCGGCGCGTGGAGGCTCCTCTCCGGTCGTGGCTGGTTGCGATCTTCTCGTCTACTTGCGTAGGTTTTGGATCTGGTCTTGTTTTGGTGTTTGGACCTCTTTTTGCATTGACGTACAGATTCCTCTTCTACCGGTTAGTTGTGTGATCTGTCCTTTTTGATTTTTTGTTTGTTTTTGATTATGGGTCCTCTTGTCTCCAATGTTTCTGTTTCTGGGACTCTGGCTGAACAAAAGTCGGAGAAGCAAACATCAGGCCCACCTACTGCATCCATTGCACCCTCTGGTAATTCTTTTGCTGGCATCTCTCAGTTGCACTCTATAGGCCCTTGGACTCTTGATTCTGGGGCTTCTGATCACATTTCTGGTAATAAGTCCTTATTCACTTCCTTTTGTACTACTGGTTCTTTTCCCACTATTACTATGGCCAATGGGTCTTTGGTCCAATCAAGGGAGATTGACACGGTTCTTCTTTTACCTAATTTATCTCTGGATCATGTTCTATATGTGCCCGATTCTCCTTTTACCTTACTTTCTGTTAGTTGTTTGACCAAATCCATTGACTGTGTTGTTTCTTTTACTAAAACCTCTGTCATCTTTCAGGATTGGAGTTCGGGGAAGGAGATTATCAAAGGATGTGAGTCTCAGGGCCTCTATCAACTAGTTTCCTCTTCTTCAGCCTGCTCCACTGCGGATTCTCCTTTTACTATCCATGCTCGTCTGGGCCATCCTAGTCTTGCAAACCTTCAGAAGATGGTTTCCCATTTATCGTCTTTTTCTACTTTAAATTGTGAGTCTTGTCAGTTTGGGAAACATACTCGTAGTACGTTTTCGAGTCGTCAAGCTGTTTCTCTTTTTTCTGTAGTCCACTCTGATGTTTGGGGACCAAGTCGTCATTCTTCTACTTTGGGTTTTAAGTACTTTGTTACTTTTATTGATGATTATTCCAGATGCACTTGGTTATTTTTAATGAAAAATCGGTCTGAGTTGTTTTCTATTTTTCAGTTATTTTATAATGAAATAAAAACTCAATTTGGTATTCTTATTCGTACTTTTTGTAGTGATAATGCATGTGAGTACTTATCTCATCAATTTCAACAATTCTTTTCATCTCATGGCATTCTTCCTCAAACATCTTGCCCTCATACACCTCAACAAAATGGTGTAGCCGAGCGCAAGAATCGCCATCTGGTTGAAACCACTCGTGCCTTGTTAATTGATGACAATGTTCCATACACATTCTGGGGTGATGCTATAGTTACTGTATGCTATCTCATTAATTGCATGCCATCATCTGTTCTCAATCATAAGGTACCTCACTCTATTTTATTTCCCCATCAAGCTTTATATCCTTTAACTCCACATGTGTTTGGTTCTACGTGTTTTGTTCATCATCTTGGTCCAGGTTTGGATAAATTAGCTCCCAAGTCTCACAAATGTGTTTTTCTGGGTTATCCTCGGTCTCAGAAGGGTTACCGTTGCTACTCTCCCACTTTACGTCGATACTTTATCTATGCGATCTAATACTTGGCATGATTTGAGATCTAATACTTGGGATGTGTTTTGAATGATTTAATTATAATTATTTATTTATTTTTTGGAAGTTAGTTACCATTATATTTATGTTATGAATTTTTCTTATTTTTAGGATTTTAGATTTTCTAATTTTGAATTTTGGATCAATTTATAATTAGTCTATAAAAGGGTGCCTATGACCCTTATCCTATAAGTTGAATATTTTGTTATTTTGATAATTAAAATAGAGAACCAAATGGTTACTCTATTGTAAAATCTCAACTTTCTATTTAGCCACATTTTCTATGCGCTTTTGGCATAAGAGAATTAGGTTGTCTTCAACTAACGGCTAAACAAAATTGTAGAGGTCTTTGATGGCATAGTTGTGAAGGCAAGGGGCGAGGATTCATTCATAAAGAAGACAGACAACCGTGTCAGATAGACCCGCGTGACATAGAAAATGAAGAGCTCAGAAAGCGGATCCAAGATTTGAAGCAACAACTTGTGGAGGTGCAGAGCATGAAAAACCAATTTTTGGAGCGATAACTTGTTCAAATGCATATCAGTAAAATTAAAGATTTGGAGTGACAACTCGTAAGGGCCCATTCTCAGAAAATCCAAATTTTGAAGCGACAACTTATAGAGGAACATAACATGAAAATCCAACATTTGGAGCAACGACTTGGGTGGACAAAGTTAGGCCTTCAATCTGAAGAATGAATAGAATTAGAGGACGCATCTGATGACGAAGAGGAGAATGTCAATCCCTTGATGATTCTAACCCAAGGACAAAATTAGGAAGTACGACCTGAAATTCAATTCACTTTTCAAGATATCGAGATGCAAATCAACATTCCTGACTTTGATGTCTACGATCATAACACAGTTTATGATGATTATCCGATTGATGATGATTATCTATCTTATGATAAAAATTCAGTTTATGATGATAATCTGATCTGTGATAAATCTAATGGAGAATTTGATGTTGAAGATCTAATAGAGAAAGAATTATCCATTGAGTTTTTACCTAAAGAGATTGATATCAGTGAAGATAAAGAAGATTCGAGGTAGAATCTTTTTTTAGCAAAGAAGAATGATGCACTTACAGTTGGCTCATTGCACATGACATAACCATTGATTCAAGAAATTCAGAGTCAACCAGAGTTGTGGCCCAATAAGTATAGCCCAATTGTTGAAAAAATAGTGATTTGAAATATAACAAATTATGATCAAATCTAAGTCTCAATAAAGCAGCAAATATCATTGTGATTTGTTTGACAAAAAAAAAGCAACACATTGGATATAATTTGAGATCTAAGATTTGAAATGTGTTTTGAATGATTTAATTGTAATTATTTATTTATTTTTAAAAGTTAGTTACCATTATATTTATGTTAGGAATTTCCCTTATTTTTAGAATTATAGATTTTTGAATTTTGGATCAATTTGTAATTAGTATATAAAAGGGTGCTTAAGGATGTGCAAAATAACCAAAAAACTGAACCAAGCCATGAACCGAACCGAACCACCCTTAAAATAATCGGATTTTAAAAACCAGTTCATGAACCGAATCAGTTTTTATAACCAGTTTAAGAACCGAACCATTTTGAACCGAACCGAATCGAACCGAATCGAACTGAATCGAATCGTTTTCAAACCAAATCAAATTGATTTTTATAACTTTATTTTTAAATTTTTAAATTTTTTTCTTTTCAAAATAGGGTCGACTCGAACTGGTTCTGAACCGAATCGTTTCTAACTGAACCGAACCATTTAAACCAATTTGATTCGGTTTTTCAAAAAATTCGGTTCGGTTCGACCCATGCACATCCCTAAGGGTGCTTATAACCTTTATTCTAGAAATTGAAATTTTTGTTATTTTGATAATTAAAATTGAGAACTAGAGGGTGATTACTCTTTTGTAAAATCTCAACTTTCTGTTTAGCTACATTTTCTATGCGCTTTCGGCATCAAGATCCGTACATTAATTACAAAATATTATGTTTTCATAATTTTTTATTTAATTAATACTTTATTAATTTTTCCCCCTATTTTGTGTTGATTAATTCTTATCATGGTCAGAATTAACATTTTGAAAGAATGCGGGAATACACAAACAATAACGATAATTTGACAATAATCTATTAAGTTCAATTTTCTCCCTCTTTATGTCGGGGTTATGCTTTTACTAAGAATGAAGTTCGAATATCACATTTGATAGCATGGAAAAGGATTCCAAATTAGTACTACATTTGCTTTTCATTATTGGAAAAAAGAATTGCCAATTCCATTAAAGGCCATGCATTTTCGATTGAGGTTTGATGTGAAATAATTCTACTTATCCTAAACGTTTCTCTAATTATTTATTTTTCTAGTTGCATATTGCCCAAGTCATCATCAATTGACAAGCAATTTTTGGGGAGAAAAGAGAGAAATAATAGGAAAAACAATTAAATTTTGATTCTGACTTCCCTTTTCCATCTTAATTAGATCACCATTTTAGAATTTATGAAAGAGATTGGCATTTATCACATTTAATCTTTGATTTCATCATGTTTGTTACTTTTTTAATGTGTATAACATCAACCCTTTCCATGTTTTCTCCATTTTCAAAGAAGAATCAAATTCCACAATGAAACATTTGTAGCAAGATTAACATTCATTTCCTAAAACATCAATTAGAGGAAGTGCCACCACACCATCTTAACCGATAGCTCACCATTCAATTGAGAACATGCCAGCTATATTTTGATTATTTTTCTGCCCAAAGCCTGGGAGAAAAAATAAAATAAAAATCATACCACACTGTTTGAATTTATTTTTTCCCCATTCTTTTATGTTTTGTCCTTTTATAAAATGGGAAAGTTGAGAAATTCAATCCTTGTTTGCTGTAAGACACACTTTGAAAAGTTAACACCGCTGTTTCCAACTAAAAGAGTAGATGAAATCGCCACTTTAACCTTAAACGGTGATTTCTAAGACAAGATAAAAAAGAGAAAATTGAAACTCTGCAAATAAAATGTAAATTTTGTGTTCAAGTTTTTGTGAATATAAAATTTTTTATTTAGAAGAATTGGTCCATCATGACGTGGAATTGTGAATGTTCTCGGCTCGAACGTGATTATTTCCCATAAAATTACAGTTGATTTATCAAAAGAATAAATAAAAATGTTAAGCCTTGTTCAAAACATTTGCATCAATTGAAATACTTTATCAATATCTATTGCTTTGAGTGCTAAAAAATTGATTTTCAGGTTTAAATTTGTTCCCAAAATAAATTCATTAAACCAGATTCAAATTAGTTAGAGGAAAAAAAAACAATCAAAATGGAATTAGCAATAACGTCCCTGGTTCAATGTTTAGATGTATCAATGACTATAATTTTCATGTTATGCAAGACTAGTTGGTCTAATGATGACTCAGTTTTGGATCCTAGAAATTAATAAGGAATTGACCTGCCAAAAATACAGTGGTTCAAGTTCTGAGACATTTGTTGATAAAAAAAAAAAAATTCCAAATGGACGAGAGAAAAAAATTACCTTGATAATTTGTATTTTTATTTTATAATATTATTGGGGGAAAGATATTGTAACAATCAATTAGTGTTACTATCAATATTACTACCAATTAATTTTACCGTTAGATAGATTATGTTGATCTAACGGCTATATTTATTTTCATCTTTGTATGATTATGATTTTCCATATTTAAAGTGAAAGGATTAAATATAAAAAATTATAACCATAGGTAAAAATAAATATAAATATTAAATATGAGTAATCATAACCATACAAAAATAAAAATAAATATAACCGTTACATCAATTAATTGATAGTAACACTAATTGATTATTACACTGTCGTATCCAACAACATAAACTAATAAAATATATATATAAGCTTGCCTCGAGAGTTTGAGCTTGTGCTTAGGCTTGTAGTTTGTACTTTGTAATCTATTGAACGTGAATCTCGAGCATCACAACCATTGACAAAAGTGTCTTGGTTTCATCCAAATTCCTCAACTCTTTGGACCACAACTTGCTAGCTTGAATTCGCATACAGATTCAGTCCCTTGAAAACATGGTACACGCAGGTTTAGGTTTCTGTTTCCGTCTTCTTCTTTTTTAATCATCCCTGTTGGTTTTTGTTCATTTTCCTTTCTGGGGATTTCAATTTTGAGTAAAAAACCGTGTTTTTCCTGGTGGGGTCTGAGTTTTGACGCTAAAGTTCGATCCTTTATTTTATGATTTTCGTTTTTATGTTAATGGGGGGTACAAGAGTAAGTTTTTCAAGTGCGAACTTTTTTGCTGATTATTTCTTACTTTAGCACATTTTCATTCATATAGTTTGTAGTAATGTTCATTCTTTGATTTTTGTTCATTCTTTGTGGGTATAACAGGTTTGTACTTGGGGATTGATGTTATGGTATTGGTATTCATTGTTTGAAGCTGTGTTGTACTAAACTGTGGATGGTTTCTATGGTTTTGAAAACCTTCATGCTTCAGGGTCTAGTGTCAAGCTAGATAAGTTATATGAAAGCCATGACTTGGGCTACACTCAAAGGTTCCCCCAAAATTTCTTCCCATCCAAGACCTCTTTCTTGGATTGTAGCTTCAGTTGGAGTACTTGCAGTATTTTTGATTTTTGCTTCTTGGATTCTTGTATCATACCCTATTGGTTCCACAGTTCAGGGATATTTCTATGGTGTAGTAGAGAGTTCAGAAAATTCTAATTTATCAGTCTCTCCAATCATTGAAACTTATTTTGATCTTCCCTCCAATGCAAGTTTAGATCTAGTAGATAATAAAGCACCCCCTGATCTGCCACCTTCCACAGTTTCCAATGGCCTGTCTACTGATACAAAGATAGAACACTCTGATACTGAATCAAATTCACAAGTACCCTTAAGTGAATCTGCTTCTCCAAAATTACCAGAAACTTCGGATGCAGCGGCTTCTAGTTCACAAGAATCTGTGACTCCATTTGGCAACCATACAAATGTGATTAACAGTAGCTTGCCTGCTCAGTCCAATTCACAAATTGATTTGGCTTCAAATGCACCTGTTCAAGTGATTGGAACCAATTCTTCCAATGTGACTGGTAAAATTGGAATTGTGGAACCTACTTCTGCAGCTTTGGTGAATAACTCCAGCACTTTATTTACAACATCAAATGATACCTCTCTGCCTCCTTCAGATTCAATACCAACAGCAGTTCCTGCATCATCTGACAAGCCAAATAATGAATCCTATGCTGGTTCTGTTAATTCAGGTTGCATTTTCTGTTGCCTTTCAGGCTTGCACAAACTTGTTTTCAATTTATCATTTTATTTACCATTCTTATTTTACAAACATTTAAGTTGTTTCGGTTTTCTTTACTTTGTTCTCTTTTGGAAATGCAATGGAGCCATAATGTAGGTAGTTTCATTTTATCAGTTACATGTGCTCAACATTTGTAAATTGTAGTACTTGTTCTTGTTAGGTAAGAATTTCACGTAGAAAATATGTATAACCACTTTTCTTTCTAATGATTTTCTTTGAAATTCTCTGTATATCTTCTCAGTTTTTTGACTGGTTTTTTCCGTTGTTTGTTATGTAGGCTGTGATCTGTACCATGGAAATTGGATATACGATCCATCGGAACCGTTATACAAAAACGACTCGTGCCCTGTATTGACACAAATGGAGAATTGCCAGGGTAATGGTAGGCCTGACAAAGATTATGAGAACTGGCGATGGAAGCCCTTTCAGTGTGACCTCCCACGATTTGATCCTAGGAAGTTTTTGGAGCTGATGAGAGGCAAGACATTGGCTTTCATTGGGGATTCAGTGGCCAGAAACCAAATGGAATCAATGCTGTGTATTCTCTGGCAGGTTATTTTCATTATTCCTTACTGATCTGATTTACATGACAAATAGAATGATTCCAAGATGGAAGAAAAAAATGTCTTTATTTTGCTGATATATCGTTGGTAATATCTTCTCGTATTTGCTGTGTAACATTGTGATTACGAATTTTCTTAAAATTGGCATAGCCATACTTTCAACATAAACAAAGTATACTAATTACTTATAAGGTTATTCATATGGTTGCCCAAGATACATAATGAAATGGTAGGTAATGCACTTTACTTGACAACAAATGAGAGACACTGACACACAATCCACTGGAAATTGCTTGCCATCTTGGAAGAACTTGGATAATAATTATTTTAGAGAAACTAAATGGGATAGCTACTCATGTTTCTTGAATGGACATGAGGATGTAGTTTATATTATAGTTTATACTCATTACATATTTATGGCTTTGTTTAGCATCACCTACATAAACAGTTTAACTCTCTTACTGTTTGTATGCTTAAGTAATGAAGAAACATTCTAGTTGCAGATACATGCAACCCTAACTTAGATTTGAAACTTTTATAAAACTCCTCTTACTACTTATCAACTGCCAAACCTGCAGGCCGATTATAACTTTTACACATCTTGGAGCAATGGTTTAATTCTTATTTGTTGATTTATGTGGATTTTTTGCATGCTAAAGAGATAAAGCCTTCCTTTAAGTGAGATCAAGTATATTCATATCAGCTTTAAAAGAATGAACTTTTGGTTTAGTTATTAGGTCAGGATTTGTTTTCATGTTATGTTTGTTATCTAACGCATGTTGTTTGCATGATGTTATGTATAATATAATCTAATTCTACGTGTTTGCTTGATGCTTGTGTTTGTCTGCATCCTTTTTTTCATAGTGAGATGCTTAACTGCAAAATATGGTACTTTCAGGTAGAGGAACCCAAGAATCGTGGAAATCGTGACATGCAGCGATATTATTTTAAGTCTGCATCTGTAATGATTATCCGGATATGGTCCTCATGGCTTGTCAAACACAATTCTGAACCATTTGATTTTGCTCCAGCTGGGGTGGAGAAGCTCTATCTCGATACCCCGGAAGAGAAGTTAATGGAAATTATCCCAAAATTTGATGTGGTTGTTCTTTCTTCTGGCCATTGGTTTGCCAAGCAGTCTGTGTATATTTTGAACAATGAGATAGTGGGAGGACAATTGTGGTGGCCGGATAAGTCTAAGCCTATGAAGATCAACAGTATTGAAGCCTTTGGTATATCTGTTGAAACAATTTTTACTGCTCTTGTTACACATCCAAATTATACAGGGCTTACAATTTTGCGTTCATATTCACCCGATCATTATGAGGGAGGTGCATGGAACACAGGCGGATCATGCACTGGGAAGACTAAGCCTCTTGCATTTGGTGAATTGGTGGAAAATGAGCACACCAATGCAATGTATGAGCAACAGATTAAAGGTTTTAATCTTGCTATACAAAAGGCAACAAATAGATCAAAGATGAGATTAATGGATATTACCAAAGCCTTTCAATACCGGCATGATGGTCATCCTGGACCATACAGGAACACTGACCCTAACAAGATTACAAAACGTGGCCCTGATGGAAGGCCACCACCTCAGGATTGCCTACACTGGTGCATGCCAGGTCCAGTAGATACTTGGAATGAACTTGTGTTTGAAATCATTAAGAGAGAATATGAAGGTGATAGCACATGATGATATTTATTTTTTTCTTAACAACACCCTCGTTAGTCGGGGTTTAATGGAGAGTGGTTTTTTAATCCAGCTGCGTGGCAGCTTCTGCACTCTGAAGGGTGATTTGTGCAGAACTTTACCTGTTTGAGGAAGGGTTAGACCAGTCAATATTTTTCCCATAGAAGTATATTATAGAGAAGTTGATTATTTTAAAAGATTAGGGTGGTAAGCTGCTAGTTTATTCCACAATTGTCAGGATCATCAGTGCTCCTAAAGAGGCTAAATCTGTTCGTGGTTCAGTTCTGTTGTATGTATGTCCAATATAAATTCATATCTCTTTTCAAATATGGCCTTACATTGTGCAGATTTGTTTCTCCTAATTTGGTTGCTATTTTTTATTGTATTTTATTTTTAAGGGAAAAATGTTTGTCATTTATTATAGAGTAAACACCCTTTTTGGTCCCTGGCAATATCTATGAAATCCTTTTTAGTCCCTGGCAATAAAAAAAGACCAAATTGGTCCCTAACAGTATGCAAAAAGGGCCACGTTAGTGACGGAGGAGTTGACATAAGGACTAATGTGGCCCTTTTTTCATAATTTTAGGGACCAATTTGGTCCTTTTTTATTGCCAGGGACTAAAAAGGATTTCGTAGATATTGCCATGGACCAAAAATGGTGTTTACTTTTTATTTTAAATGACATAACACTGTCATTTTAAGAGAGAGACAGACACATAAAAAAAAATTATTTAAATTTTAAATTAAAAAAAACCACCCACTTTCTCTCTTCCATGATTTCTATTTTTCTGTGTCTATTTCTCTCCTAAAATGATATAATTTATGTCATTTAATACAATCACCAAACCCTTATTTTAATTAGTTAATTATAGCGGTTGTTTGTTAAATCCATTGTGACCCGCACTTATGCGGGGCAAGCTTAAGGTTGGGAGTCTCAACCCAACCCGCCATATCTGTGACGGGTTAAACGAGCCCATATGACGGGTTGTCATGCTTTGCCACATACAAATACAGGGACTGATACGCAATGGTGGGGACCAAAAAACATATAAGTAAAAATATAGGGACTTAAATCCAAAGAAAAAGGATTATATAGGGACCAAAACCAAATTAGTGGAAATTATAAAGGCTAAATCTACTTTAAACCTTTAATTATCATTACAATTTTTAAAATCACTGAATCAGAATTCTTGGTGGAGTGTGTCTTGTTTTTTTTTTTTTTGGGTTAAAATTATTCCTTTATAAAATAAACATGAATTTTTATTTATTTGACCTAGACGACTGTTGCTGAAAAAATGTGGATCATATATTTGACTTATTCTCAGTTTGTTACAGAGAATAAAAGCACACTAACATAAAATTGTCTGTTCTGGACTATAAATTTTTTTATTATTGTTGTTTAACTCTCTTCAACTTTAATTTAACTTGAAAATGTTACCATCTCAAATAATTATAACGACAATTTTAACATATGCGGAATTTATCCCTTGAAAGTATTTTTTCTTCTAGTATACTGTGAAAATAAACAGTAAACTTTTAAGAGTATAAGTTGAAATAGATATTAAACCACAAGGGAGTAATATGTAAAATAAAGAATAACTAAATTAGAAAAAAAAATTATTTTGTGATGCATAGATATAGACGTAAGCTCAATAGGAAAGTTATCAAAAGTGGGTGTCACACAAATGTTGAGAATCAAGGGGAATGTGGAATGGTGGCTTTGTGGTTGTATTCTGGGAGAGTAACAACAATGTGAATGCTTGTGCAAAAAATGCATCCTCAATGATAATAAAAGGTATTTATATGTGGAGAAAATTCTCCAATAATGAAAGAGAGAAAACCATAATGTTTGTTTTTGTGGACCTGATTAGGTGTGAGGCAAGTATCCTCATGTGATGTATGAAATATGTATACTAGAGGCGTGAAATTGTCATAAGATAACATTTGTCTTACTCTAAAAATACAGAGATATAACTCTTTACATGAATATTAAAGGCTGGCTTAATGGACTACGCCTGAGTGAGCCGATGCATTACACTACCTTTATTGAAGTGAGGTAATCTTTAGTTAATCTAGTTACCCAAAACATTATTACGTCTATTATAAATGAAATGCAAAAGTCAGTCATTCTGAAACTATAATATTTATTAACAACTGTAATGTTATTCACACGTAAATGATAGATAAACTTACCTTGTTCCCAAGCTTGAAAGGGTTTGACAACTTCAAATTAATTGCTGATAAAAGTGTTTTTTAGTTTTTTTTTTTTTTTTTTTGCCACTTTAAACTGTATATGCATATATAGCTCTTATCATTCGAGCTTTTGTGAGTGTTGGAAAGAATATCTTTAGGATTTTTAAAGATTTTTTTTCTTATTTCATTAGAATTTAGGTTAGGTCTGGGCTTAAGCCCATTAGTATTTCTTTATATATTGTATTCTCTTGAATCAATTCAATATACAAATTTATTTTAATATTCCTCTCGTCTCTTATTATTTTACATGGTATCTAAAGCCTAATGAGAGGAATCCTTGTCCGCCTTTCCTTACTCTTTTTCATAATTTTAATATGGTAGTAGAGAGGTTTCACCCACCATGAGGGATTGACTTTTCCAACTTTTCCCTTTCTCTTTTTCTCTTCGCTTCTCTTAGTTTCTTCTTCTCGTTCCTCCCTTCGTCGCTGCAAGTGTTGTGCTCCGTCACCGTCGATGACCCAGCCACCGTCCAGCCCTCTGTCCGCTTCCATCGCCACCGGCTAGAACAATCTCTGCATCTGCACAGTAGCAATTCTCGTCGTCCCTGTTTATCTGCTCATGTTCCTATTTTTTATTGTCCTTTTGGCCCTGGAGCATCATCTCTGACCGCAATCGGCCCAATTTTTCTTCTCTCTCCAAGACGGTTCTGGATCTGGTATTGTTTTGGGGGGTTTGACCTCGTTTTTGGTGACGTCCATATCCCCATACTCCGGTTGTATCTCTTCATTTTTCGGCCACGCGTTCTTTCCCGGTCGTGTCTAGCCACCGTCCAGCCTTCTGTCCGCTTCCATCGCCACCGGCTAGAACAATCTCTGCATCTGGACAGTAGCAATTCTCGTCGTCCCTGCTTATCTGCTCATGTTCCTATTTTTTACTGTCCTTTTGGCCCTGGAGCATCATCTCTGACCGCAATCGGTCTGATTTTTCTTCTCTCTCCAAGACTATCTGATATTGTTTTGGGGTTTTGACCTCGTTATTGGTGACGTCCATATCCCCATACTCTGGTTGTATCTCTTCATTTTTTGGCCATGCGTTCTTTTCCGGTCGTGTCTCCTCTGACCGCGTCTCTCTCCTTTGCCAGCATCATCTTTTCTTCTACGGCCGAATCTTGTTTCTTTTGGTTGTGTTTTCTTCTTCTTCGGGGAGCATTTATATCTGTTGTTGCCTGGTCCGATGACTATTCCAGTTACACTAGCTCCGTCGGCTTGTATCCCAGTTGCAACAATGTCTTTCCCAGCCCTTTTGGCTAATGTCTTTCTCAGTTGTTGCCTGGTCCGCAGATTTTTCCAGTTAAAATGGCTCCGTCGACTTGTATCCCAGTTGCAACAATGTCTTTCCCAGCCTTTTTGGCTAATGTCTTTCTCAGTTGTTGCCTGGTCTGCAGATTTTTCCAGTTAAAATGGCTCCATCGACTTGTATCCCAGTTGCAGCAATGTCTTTCCCAACCCTTTTGGCTAATGTCTTTCTCAGTTGTTGCCTAGTCCGCAGATTTTTCCAGTTAAAATGGCTCCACCGGCTTGTATCCCAATTGCAGCAATGTCTTTCCCAGCCCTTTAAGTTGATGTCTATTCCAACTTTTCAGACTGATGTTCCATCCAGTTGATTTGCTGTCGATTTCTCCGACTTATATTCCATGAAACATCATTTTAGTTTTCTTTCTTCCCAAGATGAAGTGTACCTCCATCTTGAGGGGGATTATTCGAGATATAGATAATAGTTTATTTTAGTTTATTATGTTTGTGATTTTTCTTTAGGGTGAGTTGTAGAGTTGTTACAACCCCCGCTTGTTTACTTTGATGTTATGTTTCTTAGTCTTTCTTGTTTAAGCTTGTTGCTTATGATCTGTACGCTCCAGCTTGAGAGGGAGTGTTGGAAAGAATATCTTTAGGATATCTTTATTATTTGTAAAGATCTATTTCTTTATTTCATTAGGATTTAGGTTAGGTCTGAGCTTAAACCCATTAGTATTTCTTTATATATTGTACTCTCTTAAATCAATTCAATATACAAATTTATTTTAATGTTCCTCTCGTCTCTTGTTATTTGACAGCGAGAATCAAAAAGATGCTTTGAATTGTCCCCATATAGTAGCTCAATTTGTAAAAGTAAGAAACATTCGGGCCGTGTTTGGTAGGCAGATTTATTTTGGATTTTTGGGAAAGTGATTTTGAGAATGTTATTTTCCCAGGTTTGGTACAAAAATTTTGAAAATTTTCCAAACTGAGAATGTCGGGAATTGATTTTGTGAAGGATTTTTCCATCAAAAAATACCACTGGTATTCATAGAATCCGGATGGTGGGAAAATTTGACAACATTTTTCAGACAATTGTACCCTGTGGTACAGGACTTCTCATCTCTCCTCGGGACACAACTTTTTCCATTTCAATATTCTTCCTTGATCTCATTCCTCTCTTTTTCTCTGCTTCCTACTCAATCTTCGTCTTTTTTGAGTGCCGATGGCGGTGCACCGTCGTTTCTTTGCTGCGGGATTGCTTCAGAAGCATTGATTTTTAAAATTTGCATTGTTCTGAAGCACTGTAGGTTTTAGTTCGGGTGCTGTTTACTGCGATTTTGTTTGATTGGAGTTGAAATTGTTTGATTAGAATTTGGAATCTTTTACATTGTTTGGTTGAAATTTGGAATTTTTATTTTTTTCATATGGGTTTTATGAACATTTTGGTTTTGCAGATTTTGGTGTCTATGCTTGAAATTTAGTTTTCCAGCATGTCTATACGTGAGTGCAAGACTATCGACCTAGAACAAGGATGAGATTTTATGCAATACACGTATACATCTGAGATGTTTTGGTTATTTAAATGTTCAATTCTCAGGAGTTTCATGTGTCTAATTAAATTCGCTGTGCTGAAACATTGGTTTTATTTTAATTTTAAATTGAAATTTTTTTTGAATGAAAACGATGGATAATGTTAGTTTTGTAAAATCATTCAATATTTTCAGCAATATTTTACAATCAATCAAATATAACGGATTTTTGAAAATATTTTAATCTACCAAATAATTTTTTTGTAATATTCTTGAGAAACTTATTTAATTATTTTCTCATCGTA